TACCATGCATCCCATAACAACCATCGCGTGTTTGATAAGCCCTTCCTTATCGGTAACGTGAGAGACATTGACAGAGTAGCCGATACCATCCATGAACTCGATATTGCAGAATGGGTCAAGCAACAGCGCCCCAACAGCAAATGGGTGGTTGATGTGATAACCAACGTGACGTTCTTTGTCTCAAAGATCCGTGATCATCCCATAGGTAGATCTGGTCTTCTTCCAGAGTTCATTATGAACAACAGAGGACTTTATGCATTAGACTGTGACAAAAAGACTGGGAAACCATACGATGATTATCTCTGCTTCTTTCGATGCCTTGCGCTGCATAATGGTAGCCGTGTCAGAAGTTTAGAAAGAGATACTAAAACCCTAATTGAACGGTGAGTTATTTTATGTCAATTAATTAAAAGATTCCTTAAAAATTTAATAAGCATCCATAGGTATTCACTTATACATTGCTACTTTCAAATGTTGTATCGATTATCATTAATTCCCTTTTCTTCATTATTCTTACTTTTCCAGATATTTACAAAGTTTTCCACAACATGAAGGGTTCCAAGGAATCAAGTTAGAGGATCTACCAGAGCTAGAGAAGCTGTTTCAACTGAACATTGCCGTCTATTCTTTAGAACCTGAGTGTAACGAAGAAACTGCCCGACCTAAAATCATTGCTCGCCTGGTCAAGCGTTCTCATCACATCTTCCCTAACACACTGAATCTGAACTTATACAATGATCATTTCTCATACATCAAGAGCCTAGCACGATACTCCAAGTCTTACCAATGTTCTAAATGTGGAAAATACTGGAAAAACGGCTTCAAGTTAAACCGCCATGAACTCAAGTGCGAAGCCAAGGTCCGCTACAGATTCCCTGGTAGTACCTATAAAACAACAAAAACCATCTTTGATTTACTAAAAGATGAAGGCATTACCATTCCAGATCATCTACGTTTCTTTCCCTACCGGGCGACGTTTGACTTTGAATGCATGTTTAGTCAGGACCAGTTACCTAAGAACAGTGATAAGTTATTATGGCAAGCAAAACATGTACCGATTAGCGTCAGCGTTTGTTCAAACGTCCCTCAATACCAACAGCCTCAGTGTTTTATCACTAACGGTGATAGTAAAGAACTAGTGCAAGATATGGTAGAGTATCTAGTAACGATAAGCAAGGAAAGTAACAGACTCATGAAAGAACAGTTTGCTGATGTATTGACGGCGATTGACCAGAAGATTAAAGATAGAGACGCAAATGAGGAAGAAAAAACTGAGAATGAAGACGAATTAGAAATTGATGATGATGATGATGATGATGGCAATGATCGTGGTATTGATGTACTGGATAGTGACAATGAAGATGAGGAAAGTGTGGAATCAGAGAATGAAGAGGACCGCGCCTTCATTGATGATAATTCAGTGGATGATGATGATTACGACCCCGCCTTTTACAGAGCATTAGACCAGGAGCTTGGTGACAGGTTCCCAACCGTGCAAAGAGATGAGAACAAAAAAGAAAAGAAACGACAGCACCCTCTAGTGAAACTGAAGGTTTGTGTAGTCATAATATTATCGTAAACGATTATATTTTGTAATGAATTGTTTTACATATACTATTTTAATATTTACCGCTTTTGTATATTATGTTTAATTAATATATCATATTATAATTTTTTAACGATTTCTGATAACACTTTTATTCAACGTTAACAGGTCAGACTTGAAGATTACTTGAAAGAGCTGCCTGTGGTTGGTTTCAACTCTGGAAAGTACGATTTGAATGCCACCAAGCAATTCCTTTTCCCTGTTTTAACCGAGATGGAACAAATCCAGTTTGCCATCAAACGGAACAACAACTGTATGTGCCTTAAAACAGAACATCTTCGATTTCTTGACATCGTTAACTTTATTGCACCAGGGTTTAGTTATGACAAATTTCTCAAGGCCTACGATTGCCCTCAAACCAAAGGTAATTATATTTTCTGTCTTAATCGTCATTGATTTTTTATCTACAATTTATCATTTTTATGATTTTTGCAATTAAATATTTTATTTATTTTTACTTATTTCATTCTATTTTCCACTTTTTTTATTGAGTATTTATACGTGTTTGTGTTCACTCGTCATTCATACTGGTAATTTTTTTCTATTTATAAGCTTGACTTTCAAAATTCATTTTTTTTAACATGCTATATTTCTCACTTAATTTCTTTAACTTCTAAGCCCATTTCTTTCATTTACTATTTAGGTTTCTTCCCATACGAGTGGATGGATTCCCTGGAGAAGCTCGAATGTACAGCACTACCTCCTCACGATGCCTTCTATTCAACACTAACCAACTCTAATATTACAGCTGAAGAATATGCCTACTGCCAACAGRTCTGGGCTGACAACAACATGCAAACATTTCGTGACTTCTTGGTTTGGTATAACAACAGAGATGTGGTTCCTTTCTGCGACGCATTGGACAAAATGTCAACTTTCTGGCGAGAAAAGAGAATCGATATGCTGCGACAAGGTATCTCCATTCCAGGAGTAACTCTAACCTACTTGTTTATGACACTGGAACCAGACATCTTCTTCTCMCTATTTGATGAAAAGAACAAAGATCTTTACTATTCCTTCAAGAGTAACATGGTTGGTGGGCCAAGCATTATTTTCCACCGATACCACGAGGCTGGTCAAACCAAGATCCGCGAGAAAGAGATGAAAGAACAAGGGAAACAACCAAAAGTTTGTGAAAATGTGGTCGGCTACGATGCCAATGCTCTCTACCTGTGGGCGATTATGCAAGAAATGCCTACTGGAGCTTATGTGAGAAGAAGAGAGGAGAATGGGTTTAAAAGAGAAAGTTCCGTCAAGTTGGCGACTGAATGGCTAGAATGGGAATCTGAGAGGCGTGGAATTCCAATCCGTCATCAAGTAAATGATACAGAGAAAAGAATCGGAAATCGAAGGCTGGCAGTAGATGGTTTCCATGGTCCAAGTCAAACAGTGTTTCAGTTTCACGGTAAGCGATCGTACATTTCAATCATTCGTTCATGTGCTTCATTTATACTAATCACTATATAGATATCATAGCTCTTTATTCATTTGTTACATGTAAATTAAACCGTTCGTGGTTTCGTATCCATTTTTTTAATCTTTTATATTCCTACTTTTATTATGCCATCGCGTTATTTATTCATTTATTGTTATCAGATTACTAACATTTGTTTTCTTTCGTTAATTAAAGGCTGTTATTGGCATGGAGATAGATGTTATTTAAACCAGAAAGATTTCAATGAAGTCAGAAAGAAACCAATGAGTGAGCTGAGAGAGGAAACCGAGGCTAACAGCAAATACATCAGAAACGAAGGCTACAATCTCGTCGAGATGAAAGAATGTGAGTGGCGCAGAATGAAAAGAACAGACCCTGAAATTCAAAGATTCCTTGAAAACAAATTTAATCGACCTCTGGATCATAGGCGAACCCTAACCACAAACGAGATAGTTAATGCTGTGAAAGATGGCTCTCTCTTTGGCGTTGTCGAGGTGGACATTGAAGTTCCCGATGATCTCAAGCACCACTTCAGCGAAATGTGCCCCATATTTAAGAATACCGAGATTAGCCGTGATGATATTGGGGATTTCATGCGAGAGTTTGCCGAAGAAGAAGACATCATGCCACGTCCACGGCGAAGCTTGATTGGAAGCTACTTTGGCAAGAAAATCCTCCTGGCCACACCTCTCCTCAAGTGGTATTTGGAGCACGGTCTTGTGGTTTCCCACATCTATCAGGTGGTAGAGTATACGCCCAAGGCCTGCTTCAAACCATTTGGGGAAGCTGTATCTGACGCACGAAGAGCTGGTGATGTCGATCCCGCTAAAGCTATCATCGCTGACACTATGAAACTTGTAAGTGAATACTATTTAATATATA